CGAGGCCAGCCTGGGCTACCAAGTGAGCTCCAGGAAAGGCGCAAAGCTACACAGAGAAACCCTGTCTCGAAAAACAAAACAAAAAAAAAAAAAAAAAAAAAAAAACTGTAATATTCGGCTTCAGGGTCACAGTTCTGCTCCTGAGTTTGTTCTGCATCCAATCTCTTGTTTGAATTATGTTGCATCCAAGCAGACACCATAACATGCTGGTCTGAGCCTCTTCTAGGCAGCTGAGCTGGTCTTCGAGGCTTCTAGGCAGCTCACTTTGTCTGCAAGTGTCTCTTTTTTTGAGACAGTGTTTCACTGTGTAGCTCCGACTGTCCTGGAACTCATTATGTTGACCAGGATAGTCTCCATCTACCTGCCTCTGCCTCTGCCTCCCAAGTGCTGGGATTAAAGGTGTGCACCACTATGTCTGACTATTAATAGCTCTTAATGTTATTGTCTTAATCCCTGCCAGCACTGGGATAGCACACACCTTTAATCCTAGCACTTGGGAGGCAGAGACAAGCAGATCTTTGTTTGGGTTTGAGGCCAGCCTGGTCTACATAATGAGTTCCAGGACAGCCAGGGCTAAACAGAGAAACTATGTCTCAGGGGAAAAGAAAATCTTAATTCCTACCTTAACATCGAGGATAGATACCATCTTAGGGTAAAAGAGTTTAAACTGGTCTTCCATGCAAATGAATAAGAAGGCATAGTTATTGTTTATCTGATAAAATAGACTTCAAACCATAACTAGTCAAAAGAGATAAAGAGTGTAATTTCATATTCATTATAGGAATAATCTACCAAGAGGAGATTACAACACTAAACATATTCAACAAACACAGGTACACCCAATTTTGTAAAAGACATACCACTAGATCTAAAATTACAGGTAATGGATGACGTCAGTAACCTACTATTATCAGATGACTCATTCATCTGGTCAAAAAGCTAACCAAAGAAACATTACATCATAAGTCAATGGACCTAATAGACATGTACTGGAACAATCCAGCCAAACACTAAAGAATACACAATCTTCTCAGGGGCCTGTGGAACTTTCTTCAAACTCCACCACATTAGGACACGAAGAGAGTGTCTACAAATATAGAGAAATTGCGTTCTATTTGACCAAATGGACTAAAGGTATTATCAGCAAAAGAACTACAAAAAGTACACAGACTCATGGAAACTGAACAACATATTACTAAATTATAACTAGATCAAGGAACAAATCAAGAAGGAAATTTTTAGGTTCCTAAAATTAAACGAAAAAACACAGTGTAACCAAGTCTATGGGACAGAATGAAGGCAGTTTTAAGGGAAGTTTATAGTATTGGTTACGTACATTTAAAAAATTCAATACATCACAAATTATAAATTAATAATGTACTCAAAGTCTGTGGAAAAATTAAAAAAAAAAGGAAGGACATCTTGACATTTTTTTTTCTCGGAGCCAGTCTTTCTTTTTCTCTTTCCTTTTTGATAATTTATTTTGAGACAAAACTTTGTAGCCCATGCTGGCCTCAAGCTAATGATCCCCCTGTTTCAGTCTCAAGACTATCAAGATTGCAGGTATGCATTACCATACTTGGCTTAACTACCTCTAATTGTAGGGTTATTGGTAGCAAAGCTTAAAATTTAACAAGACAAGCAGACTGAGAGCTTTTTCTATGCTCATCAATATCAATTTTCTTTTCTTTTTCTTTCTTCTTTTACTCTTCCTTTCTTTCTTTCTTTCATTTATTTTGTTTTTTTTGAGACAGGATTTCTCTGTGAAGCAGTTCTGGCTGACTTGGAATTCACCCTGTAGACCAGGCTGGCCTCAAACTCACTGAGATCCTGCTTCTGCCTCCCAAGTGCTGGAACTAAAGGCATGTGCCACCACTGCTTGGCAATGCTTATATATAAAACAAGGCCTTACTCCCTATTGAGAAGTATAATCTCATTGGACCATAGCCAACATATACAATGGGAGGAGAGAAAGGAACCTTAGAGAGGGTCAGAAAGTGCATGAGTTGCAAGTGTGGGGTCTTCAGATATATTGGCAGGTTCCATCTCACAATATCAGAACACAGCCCACCAAAAATGACGTGCTTTGCTGCTGATGATTTTAGTAATTTTAGTCCAAGGTTATCCCAGTCCCCCTCTTCAATAATCTTCCTAAAATAATGCAGACTGTGGCTTGGAACAGGGTCAGGTCACCAATTAATGCTTGGGGCTTTGAAAGGAAGGATTTGGTTGCTAAGGGATAGAGCATACACAGAGGGTTTCTGGGTTACACTTGGAAAGCCTTGCTCACTGCATGTATCCTTTCCCATCATGCATCTGATATTAATCATATGCCTTATTCAGATGCAAAATGGCAAAAAGACTTTCCTTAGATATTAATTTTGAGAACACAGTTTGCCTTTACGGTACATGTGCTCCAAAGTAGTTCATTACTTTCAGGCCATTTTCCATTGTTACCAGATGTGTTCTAAAATGTAATTGAATATATATAAGGGATTAATAAGGTGTTACTAGAGGGACTAACATATTGCCATTTTTAAAGCATGAAACCTGATATCAGATGTGGTCCAAGGTTACCTACAGAAGATTTTTCAAAGACGAATATTCACAGGGTGCTAGGTGCATTATTCAGAGAGGACTGGGTGCAAAACCCAAGTCAAGTCTCAGATTGCTTAACTTGTTCTGTGCTTGCCTGTCTCACTATTTTCCCAGTACCAAGAATTAATTTCATACCAATTACAGCTGCTTTCTCATCACTTCGTGTCTAAAACTTTAAGCTTGCTTACACTCTTTTCATTTACTAAAATACTTCATTGTTTTTTTTTTTAATGCAAGTTCCTTTAAAATTTCTGGGCCCAGGGCAGAATGAAGCTAGGTTCTTGACCAAAATAGCAAAGTAATGGTTCCCACCTCAGTTACGGACCGAGTTCTTGTTCCCCTCTGAACCTTCCTGAGCTGTGCCTCTTCTGTAAGCATTTCTTTCATCATTTTTTGTCTTTACAATATCTACAAAATGATCTATTCAGATTTGCTTTTTCTAGTATGCTGATCTCTCTCTCTTTCTCTCTGCCTTAAGAAAAACAATTCTTCTGCCTCTCACAAAAGAAGAAAAAAACCAGGTCAAAAAGTTTATTTCTTCTCATGGTTGAAGGGTTCAATAAATCATGACAGAAACCTTAAAGCAAGAGTGTAAAACAGATGGCCAAATCACAACCACAATCAAGAATAGAGTGATGAGCGACTGTATGTTCCTCTGCTCCCTTCTTCCTCTAATATAATTCTGTATACAAGTCAGAGAATACTTCCATACACTGTGAGTGGGTTTTCTCACATTAATTCATGTAATCACTATAGTTTCTCAAGTTAATCTTTATCTGCATAGCCACTTAGGAATGTCTTCAGAAGCATATGCCCTAGATGATTCTGTATCCTATCAGCCTATCAGTTAAAACCAACCATCTTAATATGTGCACTGTTTTAGGAGCCCGTGACCTTTGAGGATGTGGCTGTGAACTTTACCTCAGGAGAGTGGACTTTATTGGATTCTAGTCAAAGAAAGCTCTACAGAGATGTGATGAAGGAAAACTTTCTGAACCTGATCTCCATAGGTAAAAGAACATACTATGCTTCCTTTGCTTATTCATTCAGACAACTTTTTCCTGCTTATGTGTGGGAACATGTGAATTTAATGAGTGTGGTCACATCATAAGATTTGGAATGTAATAAATTTTTATAATGTTGACTGTGTCACAATAATTTCTTTGGGTTTACTTCTAGAGAAAACACAAGAAGATGTTGAAGAGGACTACCAGAATCTCAGGAGAAATCTGGGGTAATTTATACTCAAAGGAGAGGAATTTACATCAAACATTTGGGAATGATAGGACAACTGAGAACCTAGTAAATTATCCAATCATATCTATAAATTAATTCTAACGTAGATGTTTATAAAACTGCATTGGATGTGAGCATTCAGAATTTGATTATCCCGTCTCTGTAATTTCTGAATGTCACCAAATGTGATAAAATGTTTAGTGAGATTTTTCAGTGGTTCATTACATAAAATCTTGCCTCATACTCAAAAGTATTTGATGTGTTTTTTATGATGTTTTCTCAGGGCATTATATAAAAGGGCTGTTTTGTTGTTGTTATCTTGGTTTTTAGAAGTAATCATTTTTTATGTATGCTTTGTTTACATATATGTCTGTGTATCACATTCATGTAGTGCTTCTGGAGGCCAGAAGAGGGCATAAGATTCCCCATCTACTGGTTACAGACAGTTGTGAGCCACCATGTGGGAGCTGGGAATCAAGCATGATTCCTCTGGAAGAGCTATCAGTCCTCTTAACTTCTGAGTCACCTCACTTGCTCAGAAGAGCTGTTTCTAATTTGCTTTTATCACTGAGATAAACAGGACAAAAGACAACTTGTTCAGGTTCTTGTCCTGACTTCAGGATTACAGTTACTCATCATGGGAAGTGAAGGCAAGAGCTTGTGCTGGTCAGGAACCTGAAGAAAGGGACTGAAACAGGATTATAGAAGAACACTGTTTACTGGGTTGCTCCTCAAGACTTACTCAGCTTCATTTCTTATAGAACTCAGGCCCATATGCTCATGGGTGGTACCCACAGCAGGCTAGGCCCTCACATCAATTATTAATCAAGAAAATACCCCCCTTCCCTGGACTTGCCTACAGGCAAATCTAATGGAACCATTTTCTCAACTGGAACCTAACCAGCACAATTGACTCCTTGTCATCTTGACATACAGATTCACCACTATTATACCATAAGTTTTCCTTTCTTCTTTGTCTTATGATCTCATGATAATATCACAATATATATCAGAGCATAACTTTAGGAATCCCACAGTCTTAAAAAAAATTATACACCAATATTCAGTGTCTCTTAAATCCAAAATGTTTCCTCTGTGGGCTCCTGTAAAATAAAATATAAGATATGCACTTTTTATTTCAAAAGGGAAGAAGCAGAGCACAGTTACAATTAGATCAAATCAAACCCATAATTCGATGTTAACCAAATTCTGTAGCTCATTGTACCTTATCTGGGCTTCACTCATGGTAGCCTCATCTCCAAAGGATTTAGGGTACACTTTTCTGTCTCTGCCATACACAGCACACGTCACTTGACTCACAGGCTCAGGCTGGCTCTAGTCCACAACTGCTGCTGTCCTTGGTAGTCATCCATGGTATTGACATCTCTCATATGCTAGGGTCCGTACCGGTTACAGCTTCACCATTCACTGTGAACTCTCTTCAGGAACTCCAACCTTGACCTTTGGTGCAAAATCTCATCTGTTCTCAAACCCTTCATTCTTCATGTTGCCACTGCACCTGGGGTTCACCTTCAGCAGGGAAACATCCTGGCCTTTTACTGTCCCTATCTCAGCTTCTCTCCATGGCCCCTTCATTCCTATAGTTCTCATGCTGCCAGAATCCATACCACCTGACAGAATTTGACCCATCGCCATGTTTTCCTCCCAGTTTGAAGTGCAGCCTTGGCCCCTGGTGGTATTTGTGCTGACTGGAATCTCTAAAGATTTCACCTCAATGCTGGTTGTTTATCAAAGCTCATTCTTCAGCCCTAGCTGACCAGAAAGCATAGATTTGTAATACAAACTATCTCTTGAACCACTCTGATAGTGTTTTGGGGGTATTCTTAAACACCCCTTTGAGGGTTTGCTTGGATGTTATACATGGGAGCACAGCTACTCATATACCGTTAACTTAAGACTGGTGTTCTACGCTGGGAAGGTTATCCTCTTTGTCAAAGCACAAGGCTTCAGGGGGGATACACTTGGAGCTGTGAGAGTCGAAGGGACACTCCCTCACCAGCCACATCAGCCAAATCAACCCTGGTGATCAAGGGGGTGACATAAGTTGCAGCCTGGTCTCTCTCAGACATCCTTTTGAAACTTGACAAGGCAGGCTATCATTGTCTACATTGCTCTTAACATTCGTACATTCCAATCTGCCAAAACAGATCATTAAACTTTAAGCATTCTCTGTTTTTTCCAGTTGAAAGTTCTAAGCACTATCACAGTCCTTCCAAAAACAACACGGTCAGGTCTGTAACAGTAATACCCCATGGACCTGGTATCAATTTCTCTTTCAGTTTGCTATCTAGTCCTGTGATAAATGCCACAACCAAATGCAACTTGGGAAGAGAGGGGCTTATTTTGGCTTACACTTCATGTCAATGTCTATCATCAAGGGAAGCCAGGCCAGGAGCTTAAGCTGCTCAGGTACCTGGAAGCAGAAACCATGAAGTACCACTGCTTACTGGTTTGCTCTGCTACCTTTTTTATATAATGCAGGCCCACTTACCCAGGGGAGGCACCAATCACAGTAAGGTGGGCCCTCCCGCATAACTCATTATTCAAGAAAGCTGCCCTATAGAGTTACCCACAGGCAAATCTGATGGAGCCATTTTTCCATTGCAGTTCCAGCTTCTCAGATGATCCTATCTTGTGTCATGTTGATAAAAATCTAACCAGCACATGTTATGTATTTCAAATGCCTAAGTGGAGTCATATTTCCTAATGTCATGTGATTGTTATTCTTTTATGCTAATACCAGGACCGTGGCTGAAAATTTTCTCCTTTTATGTTCATAAATCATTTCAATTTATGTATGTGTGTGGTTTCATGTGAGTGCATGCCACACATGTCTGAGAAGGATTTATAGACCCAGAAGAGGGCTATATGTCCCTTGAAGCTGGAGTCATATGCCACTGTGAACTCACCCATAGGGATGCTGAACTTTGGTCTTCTGGAAGAGGAAGAGGTACTCTTAACTACTGAGCTATCTCTCAGATTCTTCATAATTCTTATGAAAGCAAACAGTCTATTTATTTACTTATGACAGGATCCTTATATGTGGCCCAGATTGACCTTAAATTTGGAGTCTTTCTGCTCTTGCCTCTGGAGTATTCTAACTATAGTGGACCACTGGAGTCAGTCACCAACACTTTATTTGCCTAATCAAAAATATATCATGCACCAAAGGATTCATTTATTTTAAATACCTTCTCACACACTAAAGAGTTCACACTGGCGAGAAATCTTACTAATGAAAATGTGAAAAAGGCTTCACTATTTGCAATTCTAATAATGCTTTTCTTATTTTTTTTTCAGAAGTCAGGTGGTTGAGAAAGATGGTGAATATGAACATGATAGTCACTGTGAAAAAACCCAGCAAGAGATTCCAGAACATATTGTTAATGGGGACATTTCTCCTGTTATAACATCATATGAAAACAGTTTGTGTGTAAGAAACATCATTGATAATTTACCCTCAGATGTGCACCTCAGTGATCAAACTAAAGAGAAACCATTTGAGTATAAGGAACCTGTGGAGAAGGCTTTTAAACATGAGAAATCTTGGGAAGATATGGGTCATTCTGAGTCATTTCAAGTACATGAAAGTTCCAGAGAGAAATCCTGTGAAAATCAACAATGTAATACAGCTTGTGGGAATCTCCATTGTGATCAGGATCAGGAGAGAACTTGTACTGGAAATAAGCACAATGAGAATGCCTTTACAAACTACGAACATGGCCAGATAGACGAAAGAATCCATACTGAAGTAAAACCATTTGTGTGTAAGCAATGTGGAGAAGCCTTTGTTAATTCCAGTCACCTTATCAGTCATGAACGAATTCATATTGTAGAGAAGTGTTATATTTGCAAGCAATGTGGAAAAACATTTAGATATTTGTCATGCTTTCAAAAACATGAAAGAATTCACAGTGGAGAGAGGCCTTATGCCTGTGAGCAATGTGGGAAAGGATTTATTCAGTTGAAATACCTTCTCATGCACCAAAGAATGCACACTGGAGAGAATTATTATGAATGTAAACATTGTGAAGAAATCTTCACTATTTCCAGTGCTGATAATGTTCATGAAAAAATTCACTGTGGAGAGAAGCCGTATTCATGTAAGCATTGCGGAAAAGCGTTCACTAGTCCCAATGACTATAATAGCTGTGAAAGGATTCACACTGGTGAGAATCCCTTTGTATGTAAAAAATGTGGGAAAGCATTCAAACGTTTGGGTCATTTTATGAACCATGAAAGAATTCATACTGGAGAGAAGCCTTATGCATGTAAACATTGTGGAAAAGCCTTTACCAGTTCCAGTGACCGTAACAGTCATGAAAGAATACACACTGGAGAGAAACCCTTTGTATGTAAAACATGTGGGAAAGCATTCAGTCGTTCTGATTATCTTATCAATCATAGAAGGATACACACTGGAGAGAAGCCTTATGCATGTAAGTATTGTGGAAAAGCCTTTGCTACTTCTAGCGACAGAAACAGCCATGAAAGAATTCATACTGGTGAGAGATCCTTTCTATGTAAAAAATGTGGGAAAGTATTCATTCTTTCTGGTGATCTAATCAAGCATGAAAGAATTCACACTGGAGAGAAGCCTTATGCATGCAAACATTGTGGAAAAGCCTTCACCACTTCAAGTGCCCGTAACAGTCACGAGAGAATTCACACTGGAGAGAAGCCTTATACATGTAAGCATTGCACAAAAACTTTCACCACTTCCAGTACCCGTAACAGTCATGAGAAAACTCACACTGCAGAGAAGCATTTTGCATGTAACCTTTGTGAGAAAACCTTTAATAGTCAGAGTTCCTATTATACTCATAAAAAAATTCATTCTATGAAAGAGAAACTGTATGTATGTAAACACTGTGGGAAAGAATTCACTTATTGTGGTAATTTCCTCAAGCATGAAAGAATTCACACTATAGAAAACTTGTCCATGTGAGCAATCTGTGAAAGCATCTGTGTCCCACATACCATCACACACCCATATAAGGTCCCATAGTGAAGAACTTGCTCAACTATAAACAGTGTGGCCCTCTGTGATCAACTTGCTTTTATTGTGAGGTATGAAAAAAGAGTTTGGGTGACCATGAAATGGCTCAGTTAGTAAAGGTTCTTTTGGGTAGCCTGATGATCTCAGTTTTAACTATGAAAGTCACATGGTGGAAATAGAGACCCAATTTCCAGAAGTTGTCTTCTGAGTTCCACATGCACACCATTGAATGTATATGTGCGCGCATACAAATGAAGTGAATAAATATAGTGCTAAAGCAAGAAAAAAATGAAAATTTTGAAGTGGAAAAGAACACTTAGATAGCCCCAATATACAAGTATATTCAGTATGAAATCCTCTTCTGCTACATGTTTTAATGCCTGTCTGTTTATTACAGCTAGGGTAGGAGGCTAGCAAAATCGAATATCCAATACAGAACATTTAAATACCACTTGAGACTTTTAAGGTGAACTTGTTCCAACCAAATGAAAATTTTAATGAAAAAAAAAAAAGCTGTGTGATTTTCAGTTGAAGTAAAGCTTGTAAAACATTTTCACATAGTTAAATCTTATAAAGAGAATTTAAGTTTGTGTAGAATATTTTAGAAATAATCTGAAAGAAGTACAATAAAAATTTTAGCATTTTGATCTTTGGTCCATTCTTGTACAAGACTTTTATTATTGCCTTTTTGTTTTTAATATTGGAGGTAAGATTTGCTTAATAATATTGGCATAATTTATTATGCCAGCATGTTTATTGGGTGGCTTTCAACTAACTTTAGCTTCAGTTCCAGAAGTTCTGAACACCTTCTGGTCCTCTCCAGGTACCTGTACAATCATGTGCATAAACAAATAAAAAATCTGAAAAGAAAGAGAAAAGAAATTGTTGCTTCAGAGAGATGGCTCAGTAGCTAAGAGCACTGACTTCTCTTTCAGGTTTACAGTGTCTGTGATTAAAGTATAAAAGTTATTGTTCTATTGTAATATTTTCTGTGTCTCTTACATAGCAAATTAAAAAAAACCCTATTAGTTCATTGGTAATTATGTTTACATAAAAAATCATTTTCCTAAATGACTTTTTTTTTCGAGACATAGTTTCTCTATTTAGTCCTAGTTGTCTTGTAACTTGCTCTATAGCCCAGGTTGGCCTTGAATACAGAGAGGACCACCTGGCTCTGCCTCCCAAGTGCTGGGATTAAAGGTGTGCGCCATCACTGCCCAGCCCTGAGTGACATTTATATACATTATTTTTAAATTTATTATATCATTTGTGAGTGTGTCAGTGTTTGTATATGAATATGCATCTAAGTGTCTGGGATCTGGAGAGGGTGTAGGACCTCCTGGAACTAAAGTTAGATTCAGTTTTGGTGCCCTAAGGTGAGTGCTAGGAACCAAACTGTAGTCCTCTGTGAAAACAGCAAGTACCCTTAATCTTTGTCCTATGTTCCCAGCCTCTATATTTGCATAGATTCTGTGTGTTTTATTAAAGTTTCTTGTGTACTTCAATGATTATATTTTTAAAAGCAGTTTTAACTGATCATTTCTCTTTTTTTGATAGTTTCATGTATTTCTATAATAAATTTTAGTCTTTTAAATTCCCCGTTCCCATCTTTGTCCTCTTCCCTCTGTTCTTTCAGTAATTCTTAACAGACACGCTCCTTAGTTTGTGAATATGAACATGAGAATTTGCACACATTTTAACATGAGCATTTGTCAAGACAATAATATTATGTAACTGCTTAGCATTGGTGACCTGCCCAGCCCACAAGCTCTTGATGAATCAAGACTGGAGAATCAAGACTTGAAGAATCAAGAATGGAGAAATAACTATGCACCTAAGAGTACTTAACTAATCTCTCAAAGGCTTCTAATTCACTTCCCAGCACCCACATTTGGTACCTTACAATGGCCTGTATATTCCAGAATTAAAGACTCTCTTCTGGGCTCTGAAGACAGTTACAAATATATAGCATACACTCAGATACATATAGAATATGGTTGAGTTCTTGCTTGTGTAGCTGGTAAAAGCCCAAAAAACAATATACTTTGCCCGGTGCATTATTTTATCTCACTGAATACACAGCTAATCTTTCCCAGCAAGTTGCATAGCAAGTTCTCACAAACTGAAAGCTATCTGGAGGGAGACAGCTTCCAGCTCATTTCTGGCTTGATTTCTCAATGTACTGTAACCAAAGTGGATACTGTCTTCAGTTATAGGGTTTTACCATCAATTTCTGTTTGAAAATCCTGAGCAATGACAGTAACCTACATTTTAAGGGAGACCCCGGGTCCTTCTTGAGCAACAAATGATAGGGAGGTATCCTGAAGTTAGTACTGGGTTCTCATATAGTTACCTGTGACTTTGGAGAAATGTGTTGTCCATCAGTGGAGAATGGATCCATTCAAACTTTTTTTGTTTAGGCTGTATTTTTCACTAAGGTTATAAAATACCTTTCTATATGTTTTCCTCCCTGAATATCCTGTATTATTTATCCCAGTGCTTCTTCTTCTGTATCCCTTCTTTCCCTGCATCTGTTTACACCTTTCTGCTCAGTATTACATCACCCTATGTGTCTGAGGTGTTCTGCTAGCCACTCTTCCTCTAATGTCTCCTTTCTGTCTTTTAAGCACGCTACACTTAAACTTTGTAGCTAGACACTGCAATAAGGGAGATTAAGAATGTTATCTTTCTGTGTCTGTTTTCTCAATCAGTATATTTTCCAAATACAATACATTGTCTACATATTTTACAATTTCATTCCTCTTTGCACTGAAAGAAAATTACATTGTGCAAATGCTACATTTTCAGTATCTATTCACCTGTTGGTGGCTGTCGGTAGTTCCATTTTGCTTTTATGAATACAAGCACATTGAACATTGCAGTTATATCTGTTGTTTGGTGTATAGTTCTTTTGCTATATTGATTGGTATTGCTGGATCATATAGCAGTTTTTTTTTTAATGTTACCAAAAGCTTTATTAGATTTACATTATTTGACTGAAAAGCTGACACACATGACCATGTCCTGGAAGACATTATCATGCAACCCCTGAGTCTCATAATTTATCCTACAAGCAGAGACATTGAAGAAACTATCAATACTAAATTGTGTTCTGCATAGTCCATTTAAGAAACCAGGAGCTCATTTAACATTTTATAAAATTTTCATTATTCTCTTGTCATGTTTAAAATGTCATAGCACTTGATCCAGAGTTCCCATGACACTTCACGTATGTCTGTGGTGATAATGGATGGACCCTGGAAGTGCCCTGCTAAGATCTGCATAAAAAGAACAGTAGTTCTATATTTAATATTTTGATAAACTTCCTCATATAGTGCCTGTTCCAGCCTATCCTACCACCAACATAAGTGGAAGTATAAACTGTATGGGTTTTCCTTTTTACACATTGTCAGTGTTTTTGTCTAAAAATAGCCATGTGACTAGAGTAAGATGAAATCACATAGAATATTTAATTTGCATTTCACTGTTGACTAGAATTTTTGAACAATTTCTGAGTACTTTATTAGCCATTCATCTTTATATTTCTAAGCACTCTATTCACTTCCATAGAATATTTTTAATAGATTGTTTTATTCCTAGATGTTCAGTTCATTCTTTTCTTGTATATTGCAGACACGAGCCCTGCCTAATATATTTAGCTGGAAAAGTTTCTACCATTTTGTAGGTTGCCCATTCAGTTAACCATCTTTTGTAGTATAGAAGCCATCTGATTTTATAAAGTGACACTTGTGTACTGTTGACCATTTATCCTGTGAGACTAGAATCCCCTTCAGAAATATCTTACCTATGCTTATATCATTAAACATATTCCCTAATATCATCTAATAGTTGCAGAATTTTGAGTATAACATAGAGAGTTGATTCTGTTGGAATTTTTTCCCAGAGTAGGAGATAAAGGGCTTATTTCCTTCTACCAGAAGATAATCTATTTTCCTATAACAAATATTGAAGGGGATATCTTTTCTCCAATGTGTATATTTGGCTTTTTAAAAATATCATATTAGTGTAGACTTACATTTTGATTCTCTATTTTTTTTTTTTTTTTTT